TAAAATATTAACCTGACCTATTATAATTATTTTTTAATAAATGTTTCATTATTATTATCATCTAAGTCTAAGTCGTTTAATTAATTTTTAGTTTTTTAATAATTAATTTAATTTATTCTAATCATTTTAATATGTGAAAAATACTAATACGTATACGTTTTATAATGAATTATATATTTCGAGAGTCGAATTATATATTTTTAATAATATAAAGTGTTCAAAAATTATATTTGACTTTTAATTTTAATTATTTTAGCAAAGAGTTCCGAAATCTCTTACACACATAATAGGGATTTTGTTCATCCATATAATTCGCAATTAGTATATATGTTAATTATTAATTTTAATAAGTACAAAATTAAAATTAAAGGTCAAATATAATTTTTGAACTAAATATATTTAATTCGTTATAAAACGTATACCCGTGATAGTATTTTCTCGTACAAAAATAACTAGAACAAATTAAATTACTCATAAAAAAATTAAAAAATAATTAAATAATTTATATTTATATGATAATAATAACATTTTATAAAAAAAACAGATTCAATAAATATAAGTATATATATAACATGTATATATTTATTGATCTGTTTTTTAATAAAATGTTTATAAGCTTAGAAACTGACTTTGACGTAACTAGCAATTTTTATTTAATTATTTCACGACGGTTTGACGTAATAAAATGTTTTATTATTATTATATAAAATATAAGTTTAATTCTTTAATTAATTTTAATCTTTTATGATTAATTTAATTTACTCTAATTATTTTTGTACGAGAAAAATACTATCATGGGTATACGTTTTATAATTAATTTAATATATTTGTGTTTAAAAATTATAAAAACCACTCCTCAATTTTAAAGTCAGTTCGACACTACTGGCAATAATTTATTATAAATAATTATTTGAAATACAACAACAACGTTTCGGCTGTCATTGCAGCCCTTTTCAAGTACACAAATTTAAAACAGTAAATCAACTTCTATGCAAACTACCGACAATGTTAACGCTTGTTTTGATGAACAATGTAAGACTGACAGAAGTAAGCACATATTAAATAGATGTTAACTGTTCACAAGAATCTTAGTCAGTGTGACTAAGATTCTTGTGAACAGTTAACATCTATTTAATATGTGCTACTTCTGTCAGTCTTACATTGTTCATCAAAACAAGCGTTACATTGTCGGTAGTTTGCATAGAAGTTGATTTACTGTTTTAAATTTGATGTACTTGAAAAGGCTGCAATGACAGCCGAAACGTTGTTGTTTTATTTCAAAATAATTATTTATAATAAATTATTGCCAGTCTGGTCGACTTAAACATTGAGGAGTGGTTTTTTATTATTATTACTGGCAACTTAAGGATTATTATTTATTTAAAAATTATATTTGACCTTTAATTTTAATTTTTTTTATTAAATTAATAATTAACATATATACTTAATTGCGAATTATATGGATGAAAAAATCCCCATTATGTGTGTAAGAGATTTCGGAACTCTTTGCTATAAAATAATTAAAATTAAAGTCAAATATAATTTTGAACACTTTATATTATTAAGAATATATAATTCGATTCCCGAAATATATTAATTCATTATAAAACGTATACGTGATATATTTTTTCTCATATAAAAATGACTAGAATAAATTAAATTATTATTAAAAACTAAAAAGTAATTAAACGACTTAGACTTAGATGATAATAATAATGAAACTTTTATTAAAAAAAGATTCAATAACTAGTAGGTCAGGTTATAATTTTTTATTTATTTATTTATAACATTATGAGCTATTAAGCTCATCATCTCGTTCGCTCTCTGTCTTGCTTTCATTCGGCAAGTCACAAACGATATATGATACTCGTATGTTCCTACTTCAACTCTCGAGAATCTGAAACAAACGAAACTCGTGTCCAATATACAGGGTGTCCGGTAACTAACAGACCAATGATTACAAATGGATTTCTTTGGTCAATTGGGAACGATTTTTCCTCAGCAAAATGTCGAAAAAGGTCATCATTTTTTACAACTTTCCAATCTTTGTCATTATGTATCTTTATAACTAAGTCTTAATTAAAATTTTATTATAGTAAACTCTACCTGAAATTACTGAAGAATGTAATTATGTTAGACTTTTAACTCCAAAACGTTTAGTTTTCAAAAACCTATTTTTTTCAATCGCTTATAACTCGAAAATTATTGACTTCTCAACATTTTTGCTAAGGAAAAATCGTCTCCAATTAGCCAGAGAATCCGCCCTTAATCATTGGTCCGTTAGTTACCGCACCTTGTATATATTATATAAAAGTGTATAGCACGTCAGAAGCTTGTGAGCTTACAGCGATAAGTAAAAACAATTGCGTATTTATTTCATTGCGTTTATCTGTTTAAACGCGCGCTTTAATTTTTCCAACGTTTTTGCCTGTTTATATTTAAAGGTCCTCTCTTCTAAAATCTTGTTTTAAAGATCCTCTCCGCGAGCAAATTCGAAAACATAATTATTTAATTTAATAAGGAAACAATTAGATATTAAAGACAAGGCTCGTTGATATTATAAATTAAGATTGAAAGACAGGGCAACTATAACGAGCATATTAAATTAGTGAAGATGTAATGTCAACACATAATTGATTTATTTCTTAGTAGCTACAATGATAATAAAAATACTAAAACTTTCGGCTGTTACCTCAGCCTTCTTCAGTAAATATAAAAACATAAAAATTCTCTTAAGAAAAAATATGACATATTACGCATTAGAGTCTATTTTTTAATGAACATTTTGGTTTAATAAGTCGATGAATTTAAATTGGGTTACGCTTATAACATTTATTAAATTAGATATTTTTTCTAATCGGCTAACCATTTTTTAGTTAAGATTGTAAACTTTTTGATTATGTCAAAAAACATGTAAACTAGTTCCCTGTTGTTAGTAGAACAGGTTGACGGCCCATTCCACGTCATCAATTCTTTTGAACATTATTAGTTAAAATTATCGTCAGAACCGCTTGAATATGAGAATTGAAAACATTAGATGTTATCCAGCATCAAAAAGTTAGTCCCCATCATCAAGGATATTTCGAGTAAGTTCGTCATTGCAGTATATTTCACCGTGATTGTCTAAGTATATTTGTTATTTTTTGGTATTTAATTTATATTAATAAATTATTTTTTTATGTGAAAGATCTTAATTGTGTTTAGAATTGCTTACTTAAATTGATGAGTAGTCAAGATTCCGCCAAGTGATGTGTTCACTATACAAAGTCACATAAATTATTTAATATTTTTTTTACTTATTATTTGTAAATCCTCGGTAATTTCAAAATTTTTCTATTTGAAAATTATTATTTTCTATTGCCAATTAATTTTATCACAGACTTTACTCTTACTCCCATTGCACTTTCGTTTGCGGTTTTCAGTATACGATTTTTTATCGTAGTTACTGAAAATTATTATTGTGAATTATACTTGTGCAGTGATTGAAGAATTTACAATTTCGTTGAAATTGTTGATTTTCAAAAAAATTACGAGATTCGCGGAAATTGCGTGCTTTCTTGGCATTTTCCGTTCGCGGCAGGCGGTTTATTTTGATTGTTTGCAAGTGTTTGTTTGTTTTTTTTTTTATAAAATAGATAATAATAATGTGAAATAAATCACAATATTGGACAGATGTGCATATATATAGAAATTGTAATAATAATAATATTATTCATAAAATTGTAATTGTTTCAATTTTTTATAGACTGCGATAAAAGATTTTACATTTAGATAAAAAAGTGCGGTTAAGTAAAAATATAAAATTCTTGAAAACGTAAAAATATTTGATACGTAAAATGTGAACTTTGAAAAATAAGAACTTAAAAATTGCACTAATAAATGGGCTATATATATGTGAGCCGTGCGCGATGTATAAGGTGTGTTATATCGAAATTTAATTAATAGAATTGAGAATTAATCCCAATTTTAAGTCTTACAAATGTCCAAGCTAATTTTTTGTACCTCGTGTACATTTTTGAAAGTTATATCGAAAATTAATTTCAATATGCGTCTTACATCTCACATTTCGCATACGGCTCACATATAGCCTATTTTATTCTCTTATACTTTATTTCAACCCTTATAGAAATTTATTACTAGTAACGCCAATTTATCACTTATTTCGAGTAATTAATCACTTTTATTTCGAATTTTTAATTACTGTATATTATATTTTAAATACTCAAATAGTGATTAATTGGCGTAGTGATAAATTTCTACAGAGAATAAGGAGCCTTTAAAATTCTTAATGTAAAAAATTTCAAGTAATTTTCTTTAATAAAATTTAATTAAAAATTTAATTAAAAAATTTTGAACACTGTGTTATATCACATTAAAATCGTGATTATTTCAATAAAAAAACATTTTATGTGTAAAAATTATTTTTTATATTTAATATAAATTTTATATATATATATGCATATATGTAAAATATTCTCTCTCCCTCTCTCTCTCTCTCTCTCTCTCTTTCTCTCTCTCCTCTCTCACACACACACACAACAGGGCCGAATCTCTCAATTGGTCCTCATGATCAATTAGCCTGGATTCGCACCAGGGGCAAAGTCTGTTGGTAATGTCAAACGAATTTAGCCTGGACTTGCACCAGGGGCAAAGTCTTTGGTCGAGTCTACGAAATTTAGCACGGACTCGAACAGGGGCAAAGTCTTTTGGTTCAAGTCTACGAAATTTAGCACGGACTCGAACCAGGGGCAAAGTGTGTCGGTAAGGGGCAAAGTCTATCGCACGAATATGGCGGTCTCTTCTTTTAGGCAGGCCTTTGCGATCTGTTCTATTAATCTGTGGTATTGTACCAGTTGGCAATCAAAGTTATATTAGATACTTTGCACTTTATATACTGTCGATATTATATGTATTTTATACAATATACCTTACTTTACCTCGATAATGCAGTCTGCCAGCGCAACCTAGGATTCTGCTTCGACGTTTCTTCTTCTCCGTTTCTGTGCGACATGCCATGTGGGGAAATAACCTACAAAATTGTTTACACGCAGAGAAATACATATTTTGACTGCACATTTTATTAACATTTTTCAATTATGGAGAGTGGAGAAAAAATAACGCGCATGGAAGATATATTAAACAGAACTGCGACGTCAGTGCAGACTAAAGATGTATTAAATTCTTCATCTAGTATCGAGAAACACGAAAAACCAAATATTCCAAGAGGCAAACCAAAATCTGGTAGGATATGGAAAGAAGAGAAAACCAAGTAAGAGAAGAGTTATATGCAGTTCTCGTTGAAAGATTTTATATAAATAAAATATATATGAAAAAAAAAATAATTTGACATACTCTAAATCTTTTATGAAATAATATAAAGTTGTTGTTCAATACATGTGCTAATTTTTCTATACTTGTTAATTATTAATTACATTATGCAATAAAATATGAAAAATGTACAAATAAAATAATACAAACGTATCTACTTGCAGGTTTTCTTCGATAATTAAAACACGTGGAATCAGATTATCACTAGCTAAAAAACAAAAGTTGAGAGATGATCTAAAACGTGTTAAAGAAATGTCAAGAGAGATCAAGCACAAAAACAAGCAGAAAAAGAGGCTAAGAAGGAACGAAGAAGAGAAAATTTGAGGAGAGCGGAAGAGAATCGAAAGAAGAGCGAAATTGTACAAGTTGTAAGTAAAAGTAACATTATGTATAAAATATAGCATATATTTTTGTGTATATTATAACCTTTTTATATTTTCAGATTAAAAATCCTGCAAAAATAAAAAGAATGAAAAAGAAGCAGATAAGAATGATCGAAAAGAGAGACACTATTAACATGTAATAATAACATGAAAAATATATATATAAATAGGACACTGAATCAAGTATATAAAATAGTTATTTGTTAAATTATGCTTAATAAAAGTATTTTTAATCTCTAGTATATAAATTTCTGTTTGTTTTTTTTTTTTTTTTTTAAAGAAAAGTCAATCTTCTACACAGCTGTGACACATTTTTTTTCTCTTTCACGTGCGACTTGTATCGCTACAAAATCTTCAAGTTCCGTTTGCAGATCATAATTTCTATCATGTAACCACTGCAATATTGAATATAAATTCATGTAATTATAAACATAGTTTAATAGTTTATACACATTTTTATAGTAGAGTAACTTACTTTTGTTCTAACCCACTTTGGCAAATAGTTAAGTCTACGTGGCTCCTGATACCTACACAAATTATTTTAATAAGAACTTTATTTTTATTCTTTTATATTTCTTCTTACTTTTACATACCTTTCATCCACCAGTAACACTGCACCCCAATCATCTTTGTGCCTAATACAACGGCCTAGTGCCTGGTTTAATGCTCTAAATGCATCTACAGTATACCATTCTGAACCAGACAAGAATCCTTTAGACTTATTAGAATCATTATATTTTTTCTTCATATCGACAGCTATATCGGTTTGATTTTTATACGGTATACCGACCTAATAAAGAGTATGTTATACACTTATGCTGCATGTGCGTAAATATATGCATAGATATGTAAATAAAATTAGTATGAATTAAAAAATGTTACCACTAGTACGCATCGAGCCTCGTTATCACTAAAATCTATTCCTTCCGCCACTTTTCCTCTAAAAACTGCGAATAAAATAGCTCCGGATGCCTCATTAATGGATTTAGATGATGATTTCTGAATTGCATTGCGATAATCTTTCATTATAGCAGCCAGATCTTCATTATTTCTCGGTTCTACGAAAATTTGTTTCAATTCCCTGAGTTTGTTCCATGTGCCGTTAGTCTCCCATCTATTGAATAGCTTATTCATTACGGCGTAAGATGAGAAAAAACATAACACACCATGTGGCACTGCGTCACACACTTGAAGGATCAGGCTACCGAGTTCGTCCTGTCACATTAAAAGAAATTGCAACAATTGGAGTGTTATAATATACTCAAGCGAAAAGAAGAGAAACGATTTTTTACCTGAAAAATATAGGCAGCCACATTTTGGAAAGTAGCCACCAAGGTTTGTCCATTCGGCCCACGTGGTATACATCTCACATATACTTGGTCCTTCGATATGATGTGATCAGGATTGACTATATGCGAGAATTTCGTGCCAAGTTCGCTTTGGAACGACGTAATCGGCGTAAGAGTACCCGAAGCAAGTATCACAGAGCGGACGGTGCGAGCCAAAGGTGCGAAAATTATAGCGGGATTCATACATAACAGTTGCATAACTCGTACTGGTCCCTTCTTCTTCTTCGTCGAAATCCAAGTATTTTCGGGTATCTGGTAAAAAATAGTTGTTATGCAGTATTCGATATAATATTAAATAGATTATAATTTATAATGACAAACCTATTCATATATATATATATATGAATATAAACTTACTTTTTTCTTAGACGGTACCATACTTTCTATGACACATACTCTATAATCGTTAACAGAAACATCTGATGTGAGCATCTGTATTGCGAAGCAGAGATACTCTAAAATGTTCTTAGTCTCGCGCGAAATAATGTGAAATGTTTTATCAGTACGAGACAATTGCTCTTGTTTCGCTTTCTCAAAATCCTGAATAGCCATCTTGCTAGCATTGTGAAAATCGGGAAATCTCGACCTTCCAACATTATTCATGTCAAGCAACGCCAAAAATTCGGCACCAAGCCAATAAGAATTGACCTGAAACATATGTTTTATTACAATAGGCAAAAGTATCGATTACAACAATTATTCACAAAAACCGATTAATATCAATTCTATCGTAATAATGATTTATGATGATATGTAAAATTAATATAAACGCAATGTAATCGTTTAATAATATATACGCTCACATTCTCTTTAACATTAATAGTTTCCAGGAATTTTACGATATCAGTGAGATATCTATGAATAGTGAGATAAATCTCGCCATTGTGACTGCTCAATTTGCGCGAAATATCTTTGCAATCATCGACAGCGCACTCAATTTCATCATCTCTCAAAATCACACTGGCAGCGTCTCGACAAATATTTTCAATATTATGGGCTTCGTCGAGGATTACAATATCACCTTTCAGATTAATCTGCATCTGCATGTTTTAATTATATGGTTTATTACGTGACATGTTTATATATAATATAATAGCACCAAAATAAAACAATATAAAGAATTTTAAAATATATTGTATAACAATGAAAAGACAGCATTTCACTTTTTTTCTACAATTATTCATATCTAGAATGTTTCCAGATACTTGATTGATAATAATTATTTGCTATGTGCTTACGCTCTCGCGGATTTTTGGATCCACGATGTAATTGTAAGGACAAAAGATGATTTCCGCCTGGGCCATTAAAGATCTCGCGCCAAAATATGGACAAGTCCCGATTTCTTTACCCAACGAAACTAAATCTTCTACATCCCAAGGTCTTGCTAGCTCGCCAAACCAATTCATTTTTTTCTTACTTTGTTCATTATAATATGGACATGTGTTTAACTGCGCGCAAAAAAATAATATCTCGTTACATAATTATTTAATCTTTAACGGTATATGCAAGAAAATAATATAACATATAAAACCTTTAACGGATCGAGTAACTCGTGACACAATTCGTCCTTGTTTCTATTGGTATTTTGGATGCACGTGACTTTTCGGCTGCTCAATATAGTCATTCTGAAAACTCACTCATTGTACGTCTATTTTATAAGGCAATACTTTTGTGTTTTTTTTTTTTACCTTTTGTGCTTATAAACGGTCTTCTTCAATTCTCTCACTACTTGCTCGATTTGCCTGTGCGTTCGTGTTCCATAATATATTTTTGGAACTTTCCGCGATCTACAGAATAAGCGAATAATAAATTACATTATTTATTCTTGTACAAATAACGTTTTCGAAATGCTGCATTTGATGCACTTACTTGGCTTTGTGCAAAACTTTATCACACCATTCTTCGTCGAAGTATTGAGATGAGTTTAAGAAGAAATTATCGTCTAAATCCTCATCGCAGGAGCATGAATTCGCTATTAAATATACAAATGTTAAATAAATGTAGCAATAAATATATATACATGTAGCAATTATTAATTTATTATATTTATAAAAATTCTTCAACGTATTGCGAGATTATGATAGATTCTATAATTATAAGGTATACATGTATCCTTAAAATAAACGATTTTGTCTGTGATTTTAAGTCGTGAAAATGATTTAATTATTCGTTATCAAATGGAAAATATAAAAAGATATACTTCCAACGTAAAAGAGAAGAAAGCAAAATTTGAAGGGACGAGCGCAAAGAATGTCAAAACATTACGAATGCTGGCACGTGAAAGGGCATGAATCCATTGAACGGGATCAATAGGAAGGTTTAATCCTCTCGCAGTGCTGCGCAGCTTCGACAACAAGCCAGCTACTCGAAGAAGGCATTGAAAAGGAAGCTAGTAGAATCGCTTTTAATCCTTTCGTACAATTTACGAAGTCGTAAAAATAGAAATGACTCTCAATGACATCGAGAGCCGCGATGAAATGGCTGTTTTTTCGTAATCGGATTTACAGAACAAATCTATAGCAAATAAGATTTCGAGCATTTATTCTCCGGACTTAATTTTATCATTTAAAACGTTTCTCGATAACGCCGGAAATATATATACGTCTATTTACATTTAGTAAATAAAAAAAAAAATATATATATATATAATAAGGAAATTATTGTTATTATTATTATTATTATTATATTATTATTATTATGATTATTATTATTATTACGGAATATATTGTCTGCGAAGAGTTTGATAAAATGAGTGTAATCGTGAGCTTTAGAGCTTTTCACATTTTCCTCGTGATGATGATTTCGTTATATCGAAAATAATGAAAGATAAATCTCTATCATATTATTTATTCAACTAATATTGTAATGTTTCGTCACGTGCACTTGTATATGCAACTACGTACACATGTGTTATATCGATATTGCGCCGAATTACCTCTAATTCCTCGCGTTCTCCGTTCGTGTGGACGCGTAGAGCGAGATGTTTTTTTTTCTTCTTTTTTTACACACGCGCCCGTGTGTGCACTTCGCCCCGAGGACGACGGTTTCCATTGGCGAGGGCATAGGGTGGATACGGTAGTATGAGCAAGGGGGCCTGATTGGCGACAGGGTGAGAAGAGAGGCTAAGACAGGAAAAGCGAGACGGGGCCAATCAGAGAGCGGACTTCGAGGGTGTCGTTGCCAGGCAACGAAACACACCCCAACACCCAAGGGGAGAAAACCCCCGGGGGATATATCATCCAGCGATACAGTCGGCGCTAAAAGTTATCGCACCCTTGAGAGGCAGAGACGCCCTTTTAACCTTGCGGACAAGCTTGGATTTTAACACGGATCATTGAATGATACTGGATTTAATCTGCCGAGCTTAATCCGAAATATGGCGTTGTACGAGTTTTAATTTTTAATGCACGAAAAAACTATTCAATTTTAAATATAATCCCTCGATTGCAACATCTGCATTGCAAAAATCATATTCGATAATATTATATTGAAGAGCCGAGAGAGAATCGCAGGATTACATTTAACTAAACGAGAGAGGGACACATTGTGCAGCAAAAATAAATGTATGTATCGTCCTCTGCACAAAAGAGGCTACTCGTGTCTTCATCTAAATGAAAAATATCCAATCAGCCCGCGCGGTGGTCCTAATCTAATCGCGTAACTTCGATCCATTCCACGTCCATTCAGAATTACAACATCCAAGCATGAATGAACTCGTTTCACGTCGATCACTCGCGCGCTTGCTGTTGCATTCCCTCCTTCCCCAGCCACCCGCCGTACTCTCGTTCCATTTCTTTCTCCCCTTTCTCTCGTTTTCACTATGTGCTGAATAAACAGTTGATCCCGCGTACATAAAGACCGCGATTCTTCCTTCTTTTTATTTTTTTTTTATTTTTTTTGTTTTCGCCCAATACGCGCTTCCGGTCCTATCGTCGTACGAGAGAGTGCGGCACTTCCACCGGCATTAATTAATCGAATCGTTGTCATTCGGCGATCACCCACGTTCGTCCCCGTGAGCGGTATTTTAAAGCCGCAGCTGGCCGCAGCGACGGCCGATGAATGGAACCACGTTGCGCATTTGCGGAATTGCATTCCGATACGTCGCCCACCGGATCGTCGTCTCCGATGACAAGCGTCTACTGTTTTGCCGCAATGCAGCTGCATGGTGAACGCGAGTCACCGGGTTCGTTCGAACGTCACGTTTCCTCGCGGAACCCAAGAATGCTCAAGATACCTCAAACGTCGAAATGTCGAGACTTTGCTCCTAGTATCGAGTATTTTGTAGCATGGACAGGTATACACGATCTGCGATGTATCAGATTGTTAACATGCTACAAATTCTTGGGTGGACAATAGCGAGTTCTCTCTGTGAATTGTATTCTTTTAACGTTACTATTGTGTTTGTTAATCTTATTGATTTTCCAAAAGAAGAGAGAAAGATATACTTCCGATACTCGACATCGTTTAAATCAAAGTTTCGCTAAACTTGCGAACATGTGTTCGTATATCGTGACTGTTAACCGCGTGGATAAAATTAAAGATCGCGCTCTTGTCACACAACACGACGAAATAAAATTCCAAGGAAAAACCTTCTCAAAGGCCGAGGAGACTCCTTTAATTGAGGCATACAATTAATTCGAGTATTTGTCATCGATGATTAAGGTTTAAGAGTTTCTCGCGACCGAGAAAAGAGTGGGGGTTGAATGTCAAGTGCCAATTAGCTCGCGGTTACGGTTTGATTGTAGGAAATCGTCGCTAATTGGTCGGGATTGTGGTGCTTCGCGAAACTTTGTGGCCGAACGAGACAAAAGCTGGGTCCTTCCTAATATCCGTCAATTCCGTTGTAGCAGGGGAGCAACTTTGTGCTTTCCGAGAATGTTTGATAAAGGATCTCTCCGGACAAAAGGAAAAGCGCGGACGAAGCCTCCGAGAGATCGACTCTTCTCGATATAATTAGCGGTATTAATGCCGCCACACCGATCTAACCAATCCCAAATACCGCGTCCGGCATTTTTTGCAACCTTTCCACGCAGGCCATTAAATTTGTGTAATAATGAGAAACCGCAACTCGCATTTTGAGCAAGCTATGCGAAACACCTATGCTCTTTTTAATTAACATATACGGAGATTATTAATCTTCTATTACGTATACATTGATTATCAATATCGGATGCCGGATTTTTATCGGAATTGACGTTACATAGATAAATTGCGCTTACTTAAAATATATAGCGTGGTTCGGAACTAAGAGTCTTGAAATTTCGTAAAAACAGATTCCTCAAATTTTCATATCTGTAAAAGAATGAAATATTAAATCCTCCGAAAAATATGGATGCGAGATTATTTCACATTATATATATATATATATATATATATTATGTAAAATGTGAAAACGCAAGTTAATATAAAAACACGGATGATATTTTCTTCGTTTAAAGTCAAATAATTAAAAGTATTAAAACAGTATATGATATATATATATATATATATGCAGAGAATGGAAAACAAGAGTCTGAAAAAAGTATATCGCGACGAATACATAGAAACAGAAAGTAAAATCGTAAAAGCGAAAATATTAAAGGGAAGAGACAGGTACGAAACGCATCCCTGAAGAGTACAAAATATTATTGAGAGTGAATTATAATGAACGAGGATAAAAGACATATAACACATAAATTCTCCAAAAAAAAAAAAAAAAGACGAGAATTGGCATTTAGTTATCCGATAAAGAGAGATGAAGAGAGGAGAAGAGGAGAGAAGAAGTAAAGGAACAAAGAAAGTACGACGGGAAAGAGGCGAGGATCGTAGAGAGAAGCTGTCAAAGAGAAGCGCACGAGGATATCGAAAGACTTCTCTCTTTGGCGATGAGAGAACGGCAGCGCAAACGACGCGCGCGACGAGAAAGGGGTGGTGGAAGAGGGTAGCGAAGTTCCGAGGGATAGGGAATCGGCGTTTGGTTGAGGGGATTGGGCGAGGGTTTGGTCGCCATGGCGACAAGCAGCCCCCGGGACCCTCGCAGCTCGTTGCCGGGGTTGGTCGAAAAGGGTGGCCCAGGGCGTCCGCCGGGCAGGTTAGGCTGGGTTCGCAGCCCGAATGTCACTCGGCACAAGGGGACACAAGGATGTCCTTCGGACGCGACGGGGAGCAGAGTGAATGCGATGAATGGTGGCGGCGGGAGGAACAGGAAAACGACGACGAGGTGGTGGTGGTGGTGGTGGTGATGGAGGTGGTGGTGACGGCGGCGGGGAGGCCCAAGATGGCCGACGACACTCACCATGTCAATAACACCCTTCTTCGGCGCAAACCCACCCCTTCCCGGCTCGAGCGTTCCGCGCATCCCCTTCGCCGTCAGCCACCCCCGGACTTTCGTATAAACCATCGTCGTGCGTCAACGACGCACCGCGTCGAGGACGGGACGTCTCGCCACCGTTTCCCCGGCTTCCTGCCTCTGCCGGTAATTAACGCGACCTCTCCCTGTCGCCGGAAAAGTGTAAAGGGACGCTTGGAAGTTGGCGAGATGACGCACGCGCAGAGAGAGAGAGAGAGAGCAACGAGACGATGAAGGGGTCCATTGCGAGCGAGGGCGTAATTCCGTTAAGTGTCTTCGTAAACTTCGTTAGCTGCATTTCCCGACATTACCCACCCTACCGCGCGCTGCCGCGCAACCCCTGACGCGTCCCTCGCAGGGGTAGTACAATATGGGCTCGCGACAACGGCAGCGGAGACTATGCATAGTCGGTAATGTTACCGCCGATAGGTCGCATCGATGGTCTTTCGAGGTTGCGTAATGGACGGAATTAAGTCGAGGGAAAATATGTTTCATCGAGCGCACACCAATGCCAACTATTCGCCACCGAAAATATTTACTACAGCTGCGAGTATCTGTGTATTGCGAAATTATTTCACGCTTCTTCCTACCCTAAATCGCTACTTCTTTTAATCTTCTTTGTATTGATTGGAAAAAAGAGTTGATACCATATCTGTTATATTCATTTTGCTTCTCTTTCAAAAAAAAAAATGTACACACACATACACACATATATATATATATATATATATATATTGAAATGTAATTAGCGAAAATTCACGCGCGACAATTGCAAAATGACGTTAACCAAAGAGTAAATGATTCCGTTATTGAATCATTACGTCAGTTCGATATACATTTGATCGCGTTGAGATGTGCGAGCCGGCCACACGCGGTGATATTATTTCAAGGGTTCATGAATAATATGAACAGCACATTAGTGTTGCAAATGTAACATTAGTTACATTTGAATCGAAGATAATAATAATCATGAACCATAATTTACAAATAATATATGAGTTGATTGTACCAGGATGTACAGTAATTTTCACCGAAGCAAATCCGCATGCGGGTGCATGATCGCTAATGAACCGAAAACTGTAGACTGCATTACGATGCATCGTTAAATCACTTTTGTAATTCATTATGTTGTAGACGATTATAAAAAATTATTCATTACCAGTTATAAAGCGCGAAGAACTGAAATAAAATTGCCTTTCTTCGCTATTACATTTTATAGACGGAGAAACTTAAATATCTTCAAAAGAGAAAAAAGTATTAGTAGGAGAGAAGGAGTCGAGATTTTTTTTTGAATGAATAATTATACATATATCTATAATCCTATATCACGAGTCAGCAGTTCTTGCTATATAAAAATAAAATTAAACGTCAGTTTTGCAAAATATTAATGTTATCGTTTCATTCATTTTAGAATATATTGATTCTGTGAATACATTCTTTACGCTCTCACGTGAAAAGTTCTCGAGGATGTTCTTTTCGTACTTGATAAAGAAATGCGCCATTTTTATAGACAGATGTTGGCACAGACCGGGATGCTATATTAAATATAACTGCGGCGGGTCTTCGCGCTCGAATGGCTCAAATTATACAATACTCTCCTTTTCGAGTATCGCCACGTACAATGTGGGCAGACACCTGGAACGTTCGCGCAACGTTTCGTTTCGTTCGAGATACAATGTATCCATTAAACCATGTAAAACTGGGAAAAATCTTTCTCTCGCGCGTTCATTAATAAATACGTTATTATAACCGGTTTTTTTTTTTTTTTTTTTTTTTTTAACGTAACAGAGATGAAAGGTGTAAACACTTAACAAGTGATATTTTTTCGAAAGATTATATCAAACATTTAAAGAGGAAAGTATTTTTCCATTTTTTAATTTAACTCACCCGCATCTATTCCGCTGTCCTCTTTCTGCAAGTTCTCTGAAACAGAAAAGTTTTAAATGATCAAAAACTGACAGAAATTCTTAACAAAGAAAGCGATTCGTTTTTTGACATATAAATAAAGTCTTATTTATATATATAAATTTTCAGAAACCAAGAGATAAATAAATAAGCAACAATATTATAAATAAATATGTTGCACATCACAATGCATATTCCGTCAATTGTATATTTGTCTAGTCTGTGTAACAAATAATTGATTTGGGTTTGTCAATGTCGATGGATCATATAATAGGAGAAGTAACTTTTAATCTATTGTACCGTCAGTCAAGTTACCATCGACATCAAGATTGAAGCGAAATGCAAATGGAGAGAAAATAATGAAAATTACCGCGCGCGGCCGATGCGAGGAAAAAGGAAATAAAGGCGAAAAAAAAATTTCGTGGAGGGCAACGCGGATCACGCTGAAAAGATCCTCGCTAATAGGCATTATATTTTTCGTTCTGTACATCACGAGAGGCAGTCGGATTATATGGGCCTGTCAGCGGTCTAATAACTAGTCTAAGGCCCGCCCCGCATCTGATACGGGAAAAGGACCCTTTCTCATACAATGTGCGCATTAAATACTAATCGCAATGTGCGCGAGCGATATAATGGCACCGTACTAAACGAATTCGTGTGTGTGTGTGTGTGTACGGCAGCTTCAAAGGGTGCCGACATAAAAAAAGAAGAAAAAAAAAATACGCGAGACGTCGATCACCTCGGTGAAACTGTTGTTAGCGTTTCTTTGATAAAGAGATAATAATACGATTCGTATAAAAATAAATCTGTTCCAGTGTTTTCAGTAAATTTCTCATCTTCTACCCAGAAAAATTTCATATTTAGGAACAAAAGGGCTGAAAACCTACAACGTTCGTTGCATATTGTTGAATTCGACGTACATCGCGTTTTCTGTAGCTTCATAAGAGAGAATGCAGCAAGAGTCAGAAACGGCGTAACCCGTTTGTTTCCGCGCCGTTATTAAAACAGCGCCTTCGTATTTGCGATCGTCACGAGTCACGAGGCCATCGGCCATTTTCTGTCGCCGCATGGCGACGATCCCTTTTGCCCCAGTGTGGTCGGTCGCTGCAATTTCCTCCCTTGCCCGTGTCCGTTCTCCCTCCAAAGGGGTTGCTCAGGGTGATGCTCCTCCAGTATAGGGCCACCACGCGGAGGGTTCATCTTTCATACGAGGTGGGTCGGTGGCACGGAATTTCACCCCCGTTGGGGTCGACCGCGGAGAGATATCCCGGGATATTATCCCTCGGGAAGCCGTGTAATGAAACCGTTCCGGCACCCCCGTGGCATTATTCCCTCGTCGATATAACCTACCACCCCTGCGTTAGGATATAGGTGTATGATACAAGGCGCAGCTGCACGTATACGCCCCCACCCTCTCTTTCACGTGTGTCGTCCCTTAGCGGAGGATAAGCATGAGAGTGAGCCGGCGTCAGCAACGAGACGGCATCATTAAGAAATCCCCGAGCTTAACATGTGCGCCCTTCACCCTTTTTAGGATCGGCCGGTCGCCATTTTCAATCGATTTCTCGCGAAGGGGTGCATAAAATGAATATATGCGAAACAACGTCGCGCGTTCATAGACTGTGCCGACACATTTCAAACGCCGCGTCAAATTATCGTGTGTATATAGATTTTAAATAAATTAGATTTTAAATAAAAATGTAACTATACGCATATGTGAACTTTACCTATTTAAGCAAGAGAAAAAATATACATATATAAAAATGTGTAAAAATTTTTTTTTTTTTAATATATACATATACATATGTATATATTTATAATATATGTAAAATGTAATTTTATTTATTAGAACGCGCAGAATCGATCGTTTACATTTAATAAAAACGGAATTAGAGAGAATAGTGCACCGTGAGCATCGTTATTAAAGCGAACCTATAATTGCTTTATCCTTCATACATCGTGTACCGACGTGTTTCGATTATTCTCCATATACTCGCAGGGACAAGATAACGAGGTATCAAGTGTCAAAGGATGGTACTTTTTAAAAATGACTATATGTATTATGCATAAAAGTTGTAGAAATATACCTCGCGCATAAGCAACAAGAAAAACAATAATTAATAATCGGCTAGTCTAAATAATCTTTCCGCGTCGTAAATGACTCTTCGTTAAAAATAATAATAGAGAAATTCGAAATATGCATTTCAAATATTTGTTGCAAGCTAACGATATAAATAAAGAATATTTAAACGTAATAACAGTTCGCCACGCATGTGAAAAAGAGATTTTTGCACGTGAATACTTTCTCTTTGAGCATGCAGAGAATAGATACCGTATGTAACGTCATATCTTTTTGAGCCTTTTATACGTTAACATACGTTATATGAAAAACTTCTCATTTGCGTGCAATTTTTCTACGATTCACTCGGGTCGCATCTTGCATTTCGTCTGCGCTTCATTTTCTCTTATTCATTCCGCTCGTATCATTCCGCCGTTTTTCCGTCGCTTTGTATTCTCATTTCTTTCTTCAGCTGTATCATCGTTAATAAAAACTATGCTAGCCATAGTAATTAATATCTGTATAATCGCGGAATATCGCATGATGTATCGCTTCGTATTCGGACGATAAGTTTATTTCCTAGATTTCTTCAAAATCAAAGCTTTCGAAAAAAAAACGTTATTATGTTTTTTACAACATCCTATGCATATCATTATTTGTAAAGAAATATAAACATCTTTTCAAGTTTCACAGAAAGATCTGACCAATTAATTAAAGCGTAAATCTTCCCTTGGAATTTGTTTTGTGCGAAACTGATTGTCCCAAACTTAGTTTGAGACAATCAGTTTATACTTTTCCATTAAACTCCAAGAATGTTATATTAGTTATCACCAGTGATGGGTAAAATACATTTAAAATGCATCTCGATACAGATACAGATACTCAGATACTTTAAAAGTATCTCAAATACATATCAGATACTTTTAAACGATATTTTATCATAATAATGGTAATATGCACAAAATGTACTGCGAATAATTCTTTTATCTTTATTAATATTTTTATTCGTTAGTTCTAACACGTGAAAAATGCTTCAAACTATTTCGCCATGGTACTAAAATTTGACCAATAGTTAATAATCGCTCGACCGGTGTCGATGACGATATGTTGATAACTTGCAATCTTGATGTTTTAAAAATTTAAAGAATTGGACTATTAAAAAAACATGTAAAAATGTATCTAAAAAAAGCAATTCAGATACCATGTTTTGTATCTAGATACAGATATAGATACTTCAATTCGAATATGACTCAGATACACAAAATGTATCTAGATGATACTACCCAACACTGGTTATCACGTATAGTCCTAAATCTCAATTCTAAAGACTGCGAAAAACATCTGTATATCGACGTTTTTTTTTTTTTTTTTTTCAGATGATTGACTTTTGTCATCAATGAAAAATGTCCCGTAGCAATAATCGCGTGCGTAAAGGAGTGCGGCCTGTTTTTTCGAGGGCTTTACAAGAGAGCAGCTTTCGATTCATCCCGCAATAATATGACGGAAATGTCAGTCAATTAATAAGCATAACGAACCTGACTAATTTCCGCCTTTGTCCGTTATGTGGCCTGGATGAATAAAGTGGCCGTTATGTGTGTGTATGTGTGCGGTCTTTATGATTGGTCAGATCTGTATCGCGACAGCCGGTTCCGCTTTTGCCGAGCCGCGGCCGACGAAATGCGCGGTAAAACTTTGTGAAACCTTTTTAACCGCGTGCACGTGCCGACGAGATATCGTTTTCGTTCTTAGTTCTGTATCACCCTCATTGCTCCCTTCCTTCCGTCAACTCGCGAACGCTTTTTTTCTTACGCTTGCATCTTCCATCGTGCCGACGCAATGAGAGAGAGAGAGAGAGAGAGAGGCAATGAGATTCTAAAAAAATATACTGAAATCGATTTAAAAATATGAATATATATTTTTAAACATTTTTTTAATAAATCAAAAATGATTAATTTTTAATTATAGCTATAGAATTCTCTCTCTTTCGTTAATTAATAATATAACAAGTCAGAAAGTACCGCACTAAAATAAAATATTGAAATAATATTAAATAAATGTGTGTAACAGAATATGGTTCCAAAGCATCTTTAAATAAATCGAAATGAAACATTAACCGGGAAATGTGTCATCGAGAAATTTTGTGGCCGTGGAATGCATTTTAACCGAAATATTCATAGAAAACCACAAAAAATCACATTTTTTTCGAAATTAGTATTTCATATGAATACAAATCACGTTTTCATATTCATAGAAATAACACGCCAGGTGAGAAACCAATAGTTACAGGTATGATCGTTACGCAATCGCCGTGTTTTCATTGTACGATTGAAAAATATTTGCGTACATTTCCGAGTATGATTATACATTTTTCAATGTATTTTTTGCATATTTTTAACGATTTTAAAATTCTACCTACATTTCTACGTATATTATCTACAGCTAGGCTCTGCGAGATAATTAAAAGGGAATTAGCATCACTTCCTGTAAATCTAAAACATCAATTGCAGAAATACATATATAGGTATTGATTAAAAAAATATATTTCTTAAATGACCAAAATATAAATAAACTCAGTTTAGAATATTACGAGAATATAAATAACGTGAATTTTTATTTTTTATTTAAATTCATTTCACATGGCGCATAAGCCGAGCAAAATTTAAATATTAATCAATTTTATCGAAACACTCGTTTCACACACATTGCACGAGAATTTCGTATCACTCTTGTGACGATATAAGAACCGTTAAATAAACCGACACAAATCCGCGCCGATTTCGATTTCGGCCGATTACTCGAAAACTTTCCCTCGTAATTAGGGTAAGGGAGGCGGAAAGGGTTGGAGATTTTGCTGAAGAATCATCGCGCTTTAAGCGCTCTCATTTCGTGGCGTTTCTCCGCGAAAGGCCGCAGGAAGGAAAAAAAGAAAACGACAGAAGAGGGAAGGTTCGCGATGGGC